ACAGTCCAGCCCCAAGTGGTGCCGGTGGGATGCCAGGGTGCTCCGGCGGAGTCACAATGGGGGGAATCCGCGTGGCGCAGTGCGTCCGTCTTACCAGCACGAAAGAAAGAGGAGGAGGAGGAGGAGGAGGAGGAGGAGGAGGAGGAGGAGAGGCGCAGCCGATAGCCGCAAGTCCAGTAAATAAAAGAGGAGGACGGGAGAGTGGCGATGCCAATGGAACTTCTGGGTACAGTGGCTTCAATGATCCCTCCACACGTGCTGCGGGGGACCCTCTGCAACCGCGGGGGGAACAGGGCGACAGACCGGTGTGCGGGACCGCTGTCACTTGACCAGAGCAGCCTTGCCAGGGGGAAGCATGGTGGCCCGACACCAGGCAGTGAGAAACCTGGACACGCGGATGCCTGAGTGCTCCGGCGGAGTCACAATGGGGGGAAACCGCGTGGCGCAGTGCGCCGCCTCAGCACGAGAGGAGGAGGAGGAGGAGGAGGAGGAGGAGGAGGAGGAGGAGGGGGAGGAGGAGGAGGAGGAGGAGGAGGAGGAGGAGGAGGAGGAGGAGGAGAGGCGCAAGGAGGAGGAGGAGGGAGGGGCCATGCCAATGGAGACACTGAGAGTGCAGGACCTATGTGATCCCACCACCGTGCGCTGCGGAGGGCCCTCCGCGACCGCGGGGGGAGCGGAGCGCAAGGCCCCTGCGGGGGACAGCGCTGTCACTTGCCCATAGCAGCACCGACCGGGGGGAGCACGTGAGGTGTGACCACGTGCGTGGACTGTGGCCTCTGCGATCCCTCCACCGTGCGCAGCGGAGGGTCCCCTGCGACCGCGGGGGGAACAGACCGCGGACCAGTGGGGGAATGCGCTGTCACTTGGGGCCACCTCTGTGACCCCTCCACCGCTCCCTGCGGAGGGTCCTCAGTGACCGCGACCCCGTCGGCCGCCAGCCCCGTCGCCCCCGTCGTCGGCGCCGTCAGCGTCGCAGTCAAACCCGGGCCAGGCGACGCAGTCGGCCCCGACGTCGGCACTGGGGACGCAGTCGGAGTCGGAGGAGGCGTCGCTCACTCGCAGAACCACACCTGCCACACTGCCCGGGTGTGCTGGTGGGGATTGCAATCGCTCCTGGGGGGGCCTGTCGTTGTCACCCACACAGCGCGTTCCCTCCTACGTACTCGGGATGTGCGCACCTTCCGCACCGGAGGGCTGTCACTCGTTTGCCCACACAGTGTGTTCCGCCGATGGAGAAGCACGGCACGTCCAACAACAGCCCGTCAGAACCAAGAGGGAGGATGTATGAGACGCCCAATCGCGCTGATGAGTACGGTGTACAACTCGTAGTCAACAGAGAAAGTGGGTCCCAGAGTAGACAACCAAAGTGTCCGCGGTGTAGCCACACGAGCAGCACGTAGACAGAGGAGAAAAGAACTGAGGCCGACGGTATAGCCACGCACGCAGCACGTGGACAACAGCGAAGATAAGAAGTAAAAGTTCTGAACGAGACAGATGTCGAGACACATACCACGGTAGCAACTCGCGGGGCAGCGTCGAGAAAATCGAATTGACAGAAGACAGCCCACCGAGTGAGTGCAGCGGCATCCGCGGTCTCTCCACCGTTCCTTGCGGAAGGACTTCCACAAAGAACCCCAGTATTATTTTGCTTGCCTTTGGCGACCGCACCTGGGGGGGCCAGACAATACGACGCCCACGCAGCGCGATTCCTCCGACGCGGTGTTGACCACAGCCACCGCCGCCCCGCCGAGACTTCCCACGCCGAACTTCAGTCCAGCTGGCACAGAGGACAGCTGTCGGGCGGCACGGCCAGAGGGGGGAACTCCGCGGCTTCCACAACCTCCGCCGACACCGCCGAGACTTCCGCTAGAGTGCCCCGGCGGAGTCACAATGGGGGGAATCCGCGCGGCACGTGCGCTGCGGGGGATCCACGGCAACCGCGGGGGGAACAGAGCGCCAAACCAGCGCGGGGGGGAAGCCGGTGGTCCGTCACCAGGCAGTGTACCCAGGCGGAGCACACAGAGCGCGAGGAAGCCCAGTGTTCACTGCACGCCTATTGCGACCGCTCCTGGGGGGGCCAGCCAATCCGCCACCCACACAGCGCGTTTCCTCCGACGTAGTGCTGCCCACAGAGGGGGGTAGCAAGGCTACTGTGGGGAGACGGCACACCACTGTTTCTTGCGCTTCTTGGGAGCCTGGTTGCTCGGGTGGCCCTTTGCCGCGCGGTGATCACTGCCCCCTCCTCCGCTACGACCCGGGCGCAGCTGCCACGGCCGAGCCCAGTCGACGTCGAGGCCCAGCGCGTCGCTGAGGACCCGTACGTCGCACCTGTGGCTGCGGAAGGATTCCAACAAGAGGTGGCAGGTTTGCGGGTCGCGCCGAAGCGGGTCGAGCGCACCCTTGCTGCCGGGCACAGACTGCCGCTTGGCGAAAGCGTGCCAGGTGCCAGTGAACATCGGCCCTAGTGTGACGTGGAGTCGTCGCATCGCTTCGCCTGGTGTCTCCCCGGGGAGGTCCCACGGGATGTTGTTGATTCCTGCGTTGTACAGCTGTTGCCCCGTGTCGGGGTCTTTGGGCTCTGGCCATTGACGCGGGTCGGGCCTCCGGCGCGGCCGTGTGTCCTGGCCGCAAGTCTCCACCGTAAGGGCCTCGCTGCCCTGGCTGGGGGGCTCGCGATCTGCTCGCGACAGCTCCAGCTGCACGCCTGGCAGGGCTTTGCGGGGAAATGCAGGCCGCATGGTTGGCCGCCAGGCTGGGGTCGGATCGTGTCGGGCGGCCTGGGCAGACGCAGCCTCGTGGCCCGATGCACCCATGACCAGAAACAGGGGAGCGTTCGTGGGCAGTTGGCAGAGCACCCTGCACGGTGCGAGGAGGAGGAGGAGGAGGAGGAGGAGGAGGAGGAGGAGGGGGCGCAGCCGATAGCCGCAAAATCTGGTGAATTGAAGGAGTGGGGAGAAGAGTCGGACCTGTGCGTCCGCGTATAGTGGCCCGAGTCGTCTGCCTCCGCCTCTGCCTGGGGATGCTCCTCTGGCACGGCGCGGGGGGAACTGCTCACTATTGGGAGGCCTGTGCCAGGATGGAGGTTGTGACCATGTCCTGCTGCGAGAGCGCCCTGCGCAGTAGGAGGAGGAGAGGAGGAGGCGCAGCCGATGGCCGCAAGATCAGGTAAATTGAAGGAGGAGAGGGAGGGGTCGGAGATGTGCGTCCGCATGGGGCAGGTCGAATCCTCTGCGGTTGCTCTTTCCGCATGGGCCTGTGAAGGGTCTTCTGCCACCGCAGGCGGGGGGGATGCGTTGCCCCCCTCTCTGGATACAGCTCGATCTTCGCCTGGCAATCCTGCCACAACCGCCCAGCGGGCGCGTCCCAGGGCCTCATTTCCAGCCGCAGGGGACGATGTGAGAGTGCCCTGCGCAGTAGGAGGAGGAGGAGGAGGAGGAGGAGGAGGAGGAGGAGGAGGAGGAGGAGGAGGAGGAGGAGAGGGGGAGGCGCAGCCGATAGCCGCAAGATCTGGTAAATTGAAGGAGGAGAGGGAGGGGTCGGCGATGTGCGCTCGCATGGGGCAGGTCGAGTCCTCTGTGGTTGTTCTTTCCGCGTGGGCCTGTGGATGGCCGTCTGTCACCGCTAGCGGGGGGGGTGCGTTGCTTCCCTCTCTGGATACAGCTCGATCTTCGTACGTGGGGAGGGGCCCTTTCGCCGACGTTCGCCCTGGGGCCTGTGCCCGCCGTCGCTCCCGGGTGCGGGCCCTTTGGTCAGCGCAGGACTCTCTCCGGCCTCTGGGGCACCGCTGGTTGCGCTGGGCGCGCGCACGCTCGGCGGCGCAGCTTCAACAATAGCCGGGGCGCACGCTGCTTTGCCAGTGGCGTCCTGGACGCCCGACGAGGGCGTCTTGGCTTCGCCGCCCATAAGACGCCCACTGACAGGGGGCGGGGGGCGAATAGGCGCGAAGAGGTTTCTCTCGACGAGCCAGCGTATGACTTCGCTGTCCTGCGTCCGGGCGGTGCTCCGTGGTCTGCCTGCTGCGCGCGTGGCTCTCCCGGAGGATTGCTGACGGACTGATTGTCCTGATGGGGGGTGTTCCGCGGCGTCCGCAGCCTCCGCCGTCTCCGCCGTGACTTCCCACTCCTTTCCTCTGGTCTGTTGGCCCTGCTGGAGGGGGGGTCGTTAGTATGAGCGATACACTGGTCACTGTAGGCTACCTCCTCTCGGTTCCCCACAGGGACATCGTCACCTGTCCACGATGCAGGGGGTGGCATCGTGTCCTCAGCCTCAACCGCCTCTCGATTCCCATCTGGGACGCCATCATCTGTCAACGAAACGGGGGGTGACATGCCGCCGCTGCTGCTGCTGCCGCTGCTGCTGCCGGCACCAGACACCTTGCCCCAAGCGCTCAGGCCCTTCAGAGGGCTTGCAACGGCAGGCCCCTCGAGGGCGACACCTCCCGACCACCGGAGGAACTCCGGCGCGACGTACCCCATGGCGGCCCGCATGGCGACGCGGCCGTGCTTGATCTCAGTGCACCTCCTCCTGAAGAAGACATCCGCATCGCCGCCTTTCGCGGGGTCGAGCGGGCCCCAGTAGCCGATGGGCGCCTGCACGCCCATCTCGCTCTCGAGGGCGCGCAGGGACGAACCCGTGTAGGTCGCCCAGTCGCCCCAGGCGGAGCCCGCGAGGTTGTCCTGGAAGAACATCCGGTAGTAGATCGGCGTTGTACTCCTTGAGTGGGACAGATCTAATGCCAAGAAACGTGTGGAAAATATCAAAATTGCTCCATAGCTAATCCCATTGGAGCCCACCTGAGAGGTCGAATCTGCGCAAAAAGTTCCCCCCTCAGCCCAGGAGGCGACCGGGCAGGTGGCCGCGCACGGCTTACCAACAGCACGCTGTCGAGCTTGCCCCCTTCAAGGGGGGCCTGTGCCACCTCCCGGCTTCGTTTAGACGACGGACAGCGGGGCGCCCCGCCCAGCCCGCCACCTAGGCCTCGCGCCGCGACGGCATGCCGCCTCGGGCACGAAGCTCGCCCCAGAGCTCCTTCTCCAAGCCCACTTGGCCAGCCCGGCGCACGTCCACCGAGATCTTGCCATCGAAATCCCGGATGAGGCCGATCCACATCACGCGGAAGTCCGGCGGCGTGGCTGCCGCGAACTGCAACTCCCAGACCCACGGGCGGTCCTCCCGGGGAAGTGCGAACTTCGGCCGGAACTTGGCCAGCGCCTGGTCCGACTTCTTCTCCATGCCGTCCTTGAGCCAGTCCGTCGCCGGCTTGATCAGCTCTGCGGGAGGACTCTGGCCGGCCTCCAACAGCGTCTTGAGCCCCTGCAAGACCACACCGTGCGTGAAGTGCTTCTTGCTGCCCCACTCGCGGCGGCGCCTCTCCGCCGGGGGGCCCGCGCCGGCCTCGAACTTCGGGCGGCTCGGGTGCTTGAACCACGTAAGTACGCGAGGCTCGAGACGGCCAAGATGACGAGCGACGCGGCGTTCTTCAGGTCGTTGACGTCCTGGCCGGTGTACAGGGCGTAGCGCACCAGCTGCATGAAGAAATCGCTGTCCGTGAGGTTCCGAGAGCTGCTCGCCGCGCCAGGGCTTTGGCCGTCCACAACCTGGCGCTTCACACCGCCACTGGCTGCCATGATCTGGAGCGGGCGCGGGCCATTGCCAGCGCTTGCAGAAGAGCCACATTGCCCATTCGCTGATGCGAGGATTGCTTCAAGGGAGCTCATGGCGTCAATCTGCGTAAAAGGTTGGGCCCAAACTGCGGTCAAGCAAAGCAATGCATCCTGTGACCAGAACCAGAAGAATAATCGAAGTATGTCTGTACCTCCACCACACTGACAAGATAATGCGTGCCCGGTATATTGCGTGCAAAACCAGGTACCACGTAATGCGTACACAAAATGCCTCGGGAGCGTCAATGCCGCAAATGCGTCGTGCTGTGATTATTTTTGTTTGTTTGTTGAAGACCTATCACCCTGACAAGATAATACGTACCCGAGACTATCACCTAGTGCACCAATGTTGGGAGGTCGCTGATAAACAACATAATAGCTCTGGACAGTCAATGCCGAAAATGCCATGCATCCTGTGACCAGAACAAGATTGAAGACCAATCACACTGACATGATAATGCGTACCCGATGGACCGTCAATGCCGCAAATGCGTCGTGGTTTGCAAAGAAATGTTGCGTACCCGATATATTGCGTGCAAGAACACGTACCACGCCATGCGTACACAGTATGTCTCTGGACCGTCAATGCCGAAAATGTGTCGTGGCTGTACCAATATTGGATGGTCGCTGATAAACAACATAATATCTCTGGACAGTCAATGCCGAAAATGCCATGCATCCTGTGACCAGAACAAGAAGAATAATCGAAGTATGTCTGTGCCTCCACCACGCTGACAAGATAATGCGCACCCGATATACTGTGCGCAACCAGTTCCCACGCAATGCGTACACAGTATGCCTCTGGAGCGTCAATGCCGCAAATGTGTCGTGCATTGTTTGTTTTTGTTTGGTTGTTGAAGACAAATCACACTGACAAGATAATACGTACCCGATAATATCACCTACTGTACCAATGTTGGGAGGTCGCTGATGAACAACATAATAGCTCTGGACAGTCAATGCCGAAAATGCCATGCATCCTGTGACCCGAAGAAGATTGAAGACCATTCACACTGACATGATAATGCGTACCCGATGGACCGTCAATGCCGCAAATGTGTCGCGGCTTGCAAAGACAAGTTGCAACGATTGGTACCTATTTTCGTCAAATAATCGAAGTATGTCTGTGTCTCCACCACACTGACAGGATAATGAGTACCCGATATATACCGTGCCAGAACACGCACCACGTCATGCGTACACAGTATGTCTCTGGACCGTCAATGCCGAAAATGCGTCGTGGCTGCACCAATGTTGGGAGGTCGCCGATAAACAACATAATCTCTGGACAGTAAGTGCCGAAAATGCGTCGTGGCTGCACCAATGTTGGGAGGCCGCCGATAAACAACATAATCTCTGGACAGTCAATGCCGAAAATGCCATACATCCTGTGACCAGAACAAGAAGAATAATCGAAGTATGTCTGTGCCTCCACCACACTGACAAGATAATGCGTACCCGATATATTGTGTGCAAGACCACGTACCACGTCATGCGTACACAATGCGTCTCTGGACCGTCAATGCCGAAAATGTGTCGTGGTTTGTTTGTATTTGTTTGTTGAAGACCAATCACACTGACGAGGTAATGCGTACCCGATGATATCACCTACTGTACCAATGTTGGGAGGTCGCTGATGACAACATAATATCACTGGACAATCAATGCCGAAAATGCGTCGTGGTTTGTTCGTTTGTTTTTGTTTGTTTGCTGAAGACCAACCACACTGACAAGATAATGCGTGCTCGATATATTGTGCGCAATACCACGTTCCACGTAAGTGCACATCACATACTGTACCAACAGTTCCCAGACGTATTGACGTAGTGCTGCGTAGTGCTGCGTAGTGCTGCGTAGTGCTGCGTAGTGCTGCGTAGTGCTGCGCAGTGCCGTGGTAGTTCCGTGGTGCTGCGTAGTGCTGCGCATTGCTGCGTAGTGCTGCGTAGTGCAACGTAGTGCTGCGTAGTGCTGCGTACTGCTACGCAGTGCTGCTTCTGGCGCTGGCGTTGCTGGCGATGGTGCGTTGGTGCTACTGGCGCTGGTGCTGCTGGTCGCTGGTGGAGTCTGCACAAGCTGGTGGTTCAGGGCATAAAGGTGAGGCGTGCCAGAGGTTGGTGTCTGCGGAGAGCCCGGCGGCGATCCGGCGGCGCGCGCAAGTGACGCCGCGGCGGCCCGCCGCGTGGGGGGCAAAAAACCATGTGCCACAGTGCGGACATGAGTGCGTATTGCTCTTGATCTCTTTGTTTAGAAGTCGGATTCGGTCGATCCACTGGTCGCACGGCATCTGCTCGCAGGCGCGGCAGTGTTTAGCGCATTTGGAAGTGCCAGAACTGCCCGGGAAAGTTCTGCGGCAGAAGTGGCATTCGTGAGCATTCCTGTCGGGCGGCAGGTCGTGGAGCGGCAGGTCAACTATGGTCATCTGGCGGGCTTGTTCCCGGAAGGGCTTGGCTGCGCGGCATGCCCGTGTAGCTTGGTGCCGCAGCGCTGGCCAGGCGCCGGAAGGTGTCTCGGCTGCAGGGGGAGGAGGAGGAGGAGGAGGGGGAGGAGGAGGAGGAGGAGGAGGAGGGGCGGCTTCGGCCGCCGACGCAGGGCGTCGTAGTGGTCCTGCTGCTGCCGGGCGACGGAGAATCCCTGCCCTGGAGGCAGGCGCCGGGCGATCGGCTGGTGTTGCTGCAACCTCCGGGGCAGTCTGAGGATCGGGAGCTGGGGCGCCGGGGGCCGCTGCGGGGCGGCGCAGGGCAGAGGCAGCTGCGGGGCGGCGCATCGTGCCGGCCATGGTGGGAGCCAGCGGCGCCGAAGCGGAGGCAGCGGGGGCTGTGTCATCTCCGGCGGGTGGCGGAGGAGGCGGCGCGCCGGGCGCGGCAGCGGGTCGGCGGAGCTGGGCCCGGCGCGCTCTAAGTTCGCGCTCTTCAGCGGGAAGAGCGACACACGTCCCAGCATGTTTTTTTCAAAGAGCTGAGCGTCCCTGTGTAGACTTGGCAGCGCGGGCACATGCACCGGCCCTGGTCGGTCGGGGCGGCCCCGTGGGCTGCGGCAGCTCGGGCCCGCGCGGCGGCAGCCCGCCGTTCCGCCAAGCCGCCAGGGGAGTGTTTCTGTTGCCAGGTCTGCGCATGCTCATTTTGTCGTTGGGTCTTCAGCCATGTCTCGATCAGATTCCGCCAGCGTGCGCCTGAAGCTCCCCGAGCCACGTCCGCCCAACGGGCGGACCAGTCTTTGGGAGGAATGTCCGTCAGAGTGAGGAGTTCGGCAATGAGCCGCCACCAGTATTGCCGTGTCGTGCATCTTCCTCGGGCGCCCGGGACCGCGGCTTCTGGGCGGAGCCAGGACCAGAGCATTTGACGCTCGACTCGGTCGGCGGGTAATCGAGCCAAGTGGCCAATGCACTGCATTGCGCTGAATTCAATTTCCGTGCGAACCGGGCGGAATCCGCAGCGGTGTCTCACATCCGCCATGGTCTGCTGATCGTCGTGCATTGTGAGTCGTCGTTGCCGGCAAAGACCCACGCAGACCAGGTTCAAGAATACCTGATACTGCTTGTTTTGGTTGCTCGTGAAAGACCGACGCTCGCAAGCGTAGAGTAGACAACTCTGGATGACTGCTCGGGCAACCTGTCCAGTGCGCTTGGAAGACCAGCCGAGTCGTGGGAGCTGGCGGGCGACTTTGCTCCAGAGCTTGGCAGCGGCGGCGAGACGGCGCTGCGCGTCGATCTCCTGTCCTCCATCCCGTTGAAGCCATCCACCTAGAAACCGAACACTGTCGGTGAATACCTGTGCAAGATCGTCGTCTGGAGTACCGGGGCGTGGTGGTGTGGGTCGAACCCCGGGCTTCAGTCGACGCGTTTTCCCCGGGTGCAGTTCCCCCCCCAAGTACGCAGGGAATGCGCCATATTAGATTCCACCGTGGGGCGTTGAGATTCTCGGCATATTCCCGTGGTGTCGTCCGCAAACAGGAGGCAGAGGAGCCGAATCAGTTGTACCTGGCGGCCCATCTTCCGTTCCGCACGCCTCGATGGCTCTCCATGTATGCGATTGTTGAAGGAACGGCCTTCTAGAGATCCCAGTTCGACGCCGTGGTGGCCTCGGGCCTGCTCCCCCAAGAAGAACTCGCGGATGGCGAAATTGCGATGGAGGTTGAAACATGCCGGTGAGGACCCGCAGCCTTCTCTGAAGCCGATCGCTAACGCAAAAGGATCCGATAGACCTTCCCGAGTACGGATTTGGTAACTCGCGTAGTCGTGTAGACCAGAAAGCACCCGGAGCAGGCGAGGGGGAACGCCGAGTTTGTGGAAAAGGCGCCACGCTAAGTGGCGTTGCGCCCTTGGGTACGCCTTCACAACGTCCCAGAATACCAGTACTAGGTGGTCCCACTCGGGCTGGGATGCTGCGCCAATCTCCGCACACATCTCGACCAGGACCGCAACGACGAAAAGCGGATCCATACAGCGACGTCCCGGGCGGAACCCCCATTGAAAATCGTGCAATACGTGCTGACGCTCGGACCATTGAGAAAGGCGTGACCCAAGTATTCTGGATAGTAGGCGTGACAGAATCCTGAGCAGAACGATTATCCTGTAATTGGTCAATTATTTGCGATTGCCCTTGTGTTTGTACAGAAAGATACCGATACCTCTTTTCACAAGGTCGCGCCAGTGGTTTGGGTGGCAGTTCCACATCTGCCAAACCAAGTGTATGACGCAGAAGATCGTGCGCGGGCCTGCCGCGCGTAGCATCCCGGCTGCGACCACGCCCGCGCCTGCCGAGTTGTCCCGGAGGTGGCAGATAGCAGAGGTCACTTCGTCGGCCGCGGGGAGGGCACCCAGCGTGTCATCAACCTGTCGTACGGGCACAGAGTCCAAGACAGCTTGGGGGATCTTGATTTTGGTGCCGCCCACGTTGATCGCGAGCTCGCGCAAGTCCTTCAGTCGAAACTGTTCCCGTCCACTGCTGTCCTCCCCGTGCATCACA